GGGGCAGAGATGATGGGGTGGCCTTTTGGAATGTAGGACTCAAGAGAGACCCTGTGTGTGTCTGCTGGCTCGTTCATTCTTCTCCTTTGCCCTGGAGAGAAAGAACATTCATGGCTTCCTCTACTGAAGCCAGGAGGAGAAAGGGACACAGAGGAGGCAGAGCTGAGTTACCTCAGTGGCTCCAGCGGAGGACAACCAAGGTCAGGCTGCAGTCAGCTGGGCCTCTGTCAAGAGCAGATCACTCCAAACGCAAGATCAATGCCCTGGGGGTGTGGTGGTTATGTGTTGGGCAGCGATCCACTTGGTCGGCAGTTGGAAACCACCAGCAGCTCCGAGGGACAAAGACGGGCTTTCTACTCTCATAAAGAGTTACAGCCTTGGAATCCCACAACAGCAGCTCTACCCTTTCTTATAAGGTTGGAATTGACTCGGGTAATAGAGAACTTTATATTAAAAACTAATTGTACGTTAAGAAAATATCCCAGCCCAGTCCAGTTCGAGCCCATAAGTCCGATATTAGCCCATATGTCCAATACCAATCTATAAATTCTTCTTCAGACTCATGCAACACATACAATGATGTTGAATGCAGGAAGATCACAGGCCAGTGGGTGGAAAGTCTTTTGGATCCAGTGGCGGTGGAAGAATCTCAGCAGTGGCAGGGGGTCTTCATGTGACTCCTCCAGCTTCAGGGCTCTGGTGTAGCACCTGATTGACAAGACTAGTCCCCACCCCTTTGCAAGGTGACACCAGATTATGTAACTACCACAATCAGCAAGCACTTCAAGTCCTCCTTGCTTTAAGCAAGTCAGGAGGTATCATCTGCACATCACAGGTTGTTAATTACGTTTTCTTCCAATCCTAATGTCACATTCTTCTTCATATGGTCCCTCTTCTTGGGTTATCTGCTCAGCCATACAGATTGAATAAGTATGGTGGAAGGATACAATCCTGATGCACATCTTTTCGGATTTAAAATCATGCAGTATTCCCTCCTTCTGTTTCAGTGACTGTCTTCAGTGACCGTCCATGTATAGGTTCTGCATGAGCACAATCAAGTGTTCTGGAATTTGCATTCTCCTCAATGTATCCATAGTTGGTTATGAGCCACACATTGACTGCCCTTGCACAGTAAGTAAAACACCAGTAAAAATCTTTCTAATATTCTCTGCTTTCAGCCAAGGTCCATTTGATGTCAGCAATGCTATGCCTTTTAATTTGTGGCAGCTCCATGTCGAGGTACTGCTGCAATTGTTGATGAATGAACCTCCACAAAACTTTACTTGCTTGTAATATAAAGGCTATTATACTGCTGCAACCATTCTTGAATTACCATAGCTTCTCACATAGCTTGTCCATGATGCCCTTATGGGGTGGGACAATTCAAAGAAAGTATATGGAGGGCGAATATGAAATTGGTCAGTTTTGCCATCCCGCTGGGTTTAAAATGAGCCATCCCAAGGGCAGAAAGGGGGGAATCTCAGTACCATCATGAAAAAAAAAAAAGAGCCAGGAGTGGAGCCTGTCCTATGGTCCTTAGATCCCCATGTGAACCCTCTTGGATCCAGGAGATGGAGACAGGGGAGCATGAGAAACAGTGGCAGCCACAGAGGTAGCAGAGCCCCAAGACCAGCAGGAGGCAGGCCAGTGGGCCTCTTGGACCACAGAGCACGACAGCTGACCACCTCGGGGCAGGGCCTTGCTACAGAGGGAGCGTGCCACTGAGTACAGAGAGGGGAGCTCAAAGAGCTTTGTCACACTTTCTTGAGCAGGGGCCAGTTGAGGGGTCAAGACTAGGGATAGGCGAGTCTCTGGGATGGCTGAGGGGAACTGTCCTAACCATGATCGATGCTGAATTGTACCTTGCTCCTTCCCTAGTAAAGCCCACCACTGTGCGGACTGTCTGTGAACTCTGTGTGGCAACGCCAGTGACTTATCACACCTAGCAGAGGAGAGAGGGCCCTGAGGGAGGGTTGGTGTGAGCTCTGGGACAAAGATTGGGGGCTGGAGGCAGGGCTGACCTCCACTGCTCTGGGCTGCTTCTGATGAGACTTCCCCTCCTTCCCCTTGGGAAGTCAGGGGTCAGGCACCCCCACCCCCACCCAGGCCATTTTTACAGGAATAACCCCCAATTTTTCTAAGTACGGATTTGCACTTCCTTGCCAGCACATCTCAATCTGTCATTCCCGAAGTATTTATTCCTGGGAAGTTCCCCGCCCGCCCCGTGAGACAAGCACAGTGATAGTCGTTGGCCTGCCAAGAACGTGGGTGTGTTGCCCAACTCTGTCAAACTGGCTGGGTGACGCGGTGACGTCCAGGAGGAGATCGTGTTTCAAGGACACGTGCTTGGGTGTGTACACCTATGGAAGGGTTCTGGACAGACAGTACAGAGAGCTGCATGATAAGTCAGAAAGGCTTCCCCGTGTTTCTTGGGCTCGGCTGTCTTTCTTTCATTGGTTAAGCAGACTGCCACGTATTAGAGAGTCCCCTGGGAAAGGGTCTCCAGCGTGAAAGCAGAAGACTGACCGTGAGCAAGTTTTTCACTCCAGCTCCGCCATCCCTTCCTCATCTAGGATGGCCACAAAACAAGACAAACTCAATGCTGACCCAGAGTGCCCCCCTGTGGGATTCCGAGACTCTCACTGTTCACAGGAGTAGAGAGCCCGGTCTTTCTCCCACGGAGCTGCTGGTGGTTTCGAACTGCTGACCATGTGAAACTATACCACCAGGGCTCACACAGGATGGCCACCCGGAGATCCACTACGAGTTCCAAACCAAAAACCAAAACCTCAAACTCACTGTCCAAGGGTCAATTCTGACTCATGACTCCAGCTCAAAATGCACAGCAGTGGAATCATTACCAACTTAGGGCAATGCTATAGAACAGGGTAGATCCGCTCCTGCGGGTTTCTGAGACTGTACGTCCTCCCCGGAGTAGGAAGCCTCGTCTTTCTCCTGCAGACCCTCTGTGCCTAAGGGCTCCCTGGGAGGTGGCCCCCATGAAAAGATGAGCCCTTCTTCCCCCCCTTTCAGCCTAGCCACTGCTTGGCTCTATGTTTCTGGCCAGTTTGCAAGGTGGATCCTGATTCAGGGACCTTATGTGCAGCTGTCTGTCTGTTTTGTTCCACTGTATGTAAAATAGGAGGGGGCTTTAAGAAGTTGTTTTTGTTTTTTTAATGGAATTAAAAGATAATGGAATTTTCCCATGAATTTTTGGAGACGCAGCATGATAGCCAAAGATTCCTGGAATTTGTGGCGTTAGCTATGATTCAAGCCAAGACATAAGTGAAGTCAAAATTAGGAATGAAAAATGTGAAACAAGGAATGTTTAGAATATGCAAGAACTAGGTTAAAAGTCAATGAGAAGAAGATGTGGTCGGCTTCGTCTACTGTGAAGATTACAGCCTTGGGAACCATCTGGGGAAGTTTTACTCCATCCTATAGGGTCACCAGGAGCCCAGCGTGATATTTGAAAGCAGTTAGGAGAAGGTAGATTATTTTATAAAATGATACAGTAACAATTACAGCCTAGACATTTGTGTGAAAAGAAAGCTCTAAAAATAGTATGTATATTGTGTCTGACATAAAACTGCTCAGAGACTAATTCCTGCTCTGTGGTTTTTTTGCTTCCTGCTCTGTAATTTATTCCCTAGATGGACAAGTTCCTTACCCTCTCTCAGCCTCAACTCTCTTTTCTGTAAAATGGAAATGAAA